TATATATATATATATATATATATATATATATATATATATATATATATATATATATATATATATATATATATATATATATATATATATATATATATATATATATATATATATGTATGTAACCGGTCGAAATTACTGGACTTTAATTTCTCACTTGACTTGGGGTTTATTAATTATTAGATGGAAAGTGCAGTGAAAGCACCCCTTTGAGAAAAAACCCGAACCAGCACAATAACACTTAAATTTACTGAACAAAATGAATTCTCCATGACCCATGGAAGGATAGCATCTGTGACTGGTATGAGTGAGACACACTGTAAAATCTAGACACTTGTATTCCCTCCAACACTACAGACACAATCAAATAATGGTACGCCAATATGTGCCCCTCTTAACCTGAACTTAAAACACTACTCTGGGGAATAAAAGTTATACATGATATTGAAATTATAAGAAACTCAGACAATGCCTCATTAGACAACAATAAATTTTAAGTATTAAGAAATGTTGCTTGCACACATGAAACAGGCCTTAAGGGCTTTCAACAAAATAATATCAACCACTGGGAAAATGGTATTGAAAAAATAAGAAATTAATTACTCTACAAAGAATAGGCCTTAAGGGCACTCAACAAAATTATATCCAGCACTGAGAAAATGGTATAACAAAATAAGAACTTCTTAACTCCACCCTGAATAGGCCGTCAGGGCACTCAACAAAATTATATTACCCTAACAGATGCACACTTCCTAACCTAACTTAAACACTACTCTGGGGAACAAAGGTTATACCTAAGATCGGAATTATAAAGAAAAATTAAATGCATTAAAGGAACTAAATCAGAGTATCACTCTGGTTTCAATTAGTGACACAAACATTAAAAAACAATATTATCAAAATTATTTAAGAAATATTAAACTACACACGTCAAGATAATATCAGTAACTCAAAAAATGGTATTAACTACACACAAAAATATTATCACTATTATTGAGATGTTACTGGGTCCACAAATACCCGTGAACACATGCTCCCTATCCTAACACATAGACTCCACTTGCACTCCGTAGTTTTATAAGGCACAACCAACAGGCACCCGTAGTTAAGGCCCAAGCCAGCCTTTCTCAACCTTGGAAATGTACCTCTAAGTTCCACTGGACTCTTGGTCCCAGTGTGTGACCCTGTATCTCTCAGCTGGCTTCACTTTACCCCCAGTACATCCATGAAACGGAAGGGAGTGAGCCAATCAGACCTTGTACAGTTGAGAGAAGCTTTAGCTTCCCGTCAGTTAAAGATTTTCACTAAGCTGCTTGAAGATATGTGGTATTGTGAGCCGAGGTAGAGGAGAGTTGATGACCCCAAACGATCTCCACGTCGTTAGTTGGGCACCCAGACGGCTAGTTTCACTCCAACTCTCACCATACTCAACAGGTGGCTCAAACCCAGGACAGTGGACGTTCATACAGCTCGTTTCACCACTCGTCTCATACCGCCAGTGGACGTTATCATACCGCGCGGGGTCTACAGAACCTTGAAAAACCCGGGCTGTTAGCTATTGTCTCACATCACCGTTTGTTCCTTCC